GAAAAAGAAATTACATAGATAAAGCCCTTCGTAAAGTGTGGGCTGTATTTGTCAGAACAATTTTTTGTATCTCCTTGAGGCATGGACTTCCAGGAATCCCTTCAATTAGTCTACTGCGATCTTTTCCAACTAGTCCTAGGGCTCCAACTACAACAGGGATTGTTGATGTTCCCATATGCCACATTTTCGAGATTTCTATTTCAAGGTCCTTGTATTTTGACAACTTTTTGAATATCTTCAAAGATACATTGCAGTCAGCAGGGACTGCCATATCAATAAGGAGGCACCGTTTTTGTTTGTGGTCTTTAATAACAATAACTGGGCAGTTGGCTTTGATTGTTCTGTCAGTGTGTATTGTGTAGTCCCATAGAATTGTAACAGGTCCTATCTCCATAACCGGATCTGGGTGGTATTCATACGAGTTTTTTTTCAGTTTCCTTCGCGTAGGAGATGCAGATTTTCCAGTGCAGATACTGGCCCACTTTGTCATGTCGGGTTTTATATTCAGTGGGTGCCAACATCGTGCAACCTGATACAAGATGATCAATCGTTTCTGGATATTTATCACAGAATCTGCATTTTGGGCTGACACAATATTTTAGTAGATGTACTTGATAATTCCTAGTTAGCAAGCATTGGTCCTGCGCAGCAAGGATAAAACCTTCAGTTTCCGCTTTCAACCCTGCACTACGTAGCCACTGATGGGTACGGGTTTTGTCTACGTCAGCTTGTTTGGTACGGGCAGAGTATTGGCCATGAAGCGGTTTATCTTGCCATCGCTTCTGTATCTGGTCGGTTGCATTCGTCTTTGCTGTCTTTTTTAAGTATTTTGCAGTTTCAGACGGTGCATTGTGCTGTAGTTGCATCTCTACGCCCATTTGAAACAGCATTTTGAATTTGTTGGCTTCTTTCATTACGGAGTAAAGACGCTTACTACTTTCATGTTCCTTGATGCATACCATCATCCAGTCTTCTGTAGTTTCCAAGTATCTTTGGAGGCCAATTGTTGTAGTTTTGTAGGAGAGTTCTAGTTGAATTAATCCTCTGCCTCCTTCGGATCTGGGCACATACAGACGATCAACATCAGCTTTGGGATGATGCATGCGATAGCAAGTGAGAAGCTTTCTCGTTTTGGCGTCCATTCGCTTAATTTCAGCTATGGTCCAGTTAAGGACATTAAAGCTGTATTGCACCACAGGGACAGCCAATGTGTTTATGGCGGATATCCTGTTTTTTGAGTTTAGCTCAGTATTTAGTACCAGACGTACACGCCTGTAGTACTCTTTTCTTATTTTTTCCTTCATTTGGGGGTGTTGTATGCCATCTCCTTCGCTAATTCCTAGGTATTTTATGAGCTTCATCATGCTCCAGTTTCCTAATCTTTGTGACAAAATCTAAATCTATTAAGGGTGTTTCTGTAATTCTACCTTTCTTGAATGTTACGTTTGCACATTTATCTAATCCGAAGTCCATACCTATGTCGTCACTGAAGTATTTTACAATATTGAGGAGGTCTTTCAACTCATTGTCGTCTTTGGCAATCCTCCTCCTCCTCCTCCTCCTCCTTCTTCTTCTTCTTCTTCTTCTTCTTCTTCTTAACTGCAATTTTTACTCTAATTTTGTAATTCACACTCGTGGTAATTGTTATTATTACACGTTCCACACCACTTCAAACAAAAGGTTAGGAAGGAAAGAGCAATAACAGTTATTGAACTTGTGAAACCTATTTTCCTGTAACCTGTTTTGAGAGAAATATTTTCTGAATTTCAGCTGACAGTATCGCTAGATGTTCGGTCAGTGAAGACCAAATGTTTTCTTAAATGGAAAAAAGCTAATATTACCACAACACTTACCAGTTTAATGATTTGATTAGTACATATTGGGGCATTTAGTGATTAAGCAAGTAATATGAAGAACGTCTTTTCTACGTGAAAATGAATAGCACATCAGGCTATACCAGAGCGGCAGGTTCGAATGTCACAAAATTCTCTTCTTCACCGCTCGTAATGAATATAAGCGTGTCTTAAAAGAGGCCCTATTCGCTAATAGAATGAGACACCATATAGTCTCTAACAAGTTTGTTTCTAGAGATTATGGGCAGCTCTGCAAGATTGTGTCGAATAAAAGAAAATCCTCGTTCCCTTCTCTTTTCAATCAATAGTGACATTTTCTGCAGATAAAGCAGAACATTTTGCACAGACAATTCATCTGGATCATCTGTACCGAAATCTGGCACCACTTCTTAGAACCGAATCTCTGTTGAGTGACATCCACAGAACTCTTTTCATGGTTCCTGCTATCATTTCTAACCTAGATCTCCACAAGGCTTGCAGATTCGAAATTATCCCCGTAACTGTCCTAAATATTGAATTCTCTTCAAACCTTCCAATAAATGCCCCGCTGCTTCTTACATTGCAGCTTGTTGGCAGAACTCCGAAGAACTTTCTGACCAATCACATTATTGCCCAATTAGTCGCTTCTTTTTTTTTTTTTTTAGCAAAGTACCAAAGATTAGATATATTAACGGCCATCACTGAATTTGTCTATTAACCTTTAGATAAGAACGGTTCTATCTCAAAGATGTTCGAAAGTTTGGCCTTTTGGCAGTGCGGGAGGAATATTTGGTTTAATCCAATCGTTCGTAACAAATCATGTTATAAAGGTTGTATTGAAAGGGATACACGTTCTAAGATCATTTCGTTTTAATAATTAAGGACCTACTCTGTTTCTCATCTTCAACGATTTTCTCATGTCATCTGTTCCCAAGTAGGTATTCATGCAGATGATACAACTATTTACTATATGTCTTAGGAGCAAGTTCGACAGTTTCCTTAAAGTAAAATTGGCAACTGCTCTCGGAAAGGATCGCCAATAAATGGTTAACTAAGACAAAGAATGGTTTGCAAATTTTAACACCTCCAAATCGAAACTGCTTTCATTTAATCAACATAGAGAAACTTTGCAGCCTGCCATCAGGCATGGCTGACATTAAACTCTAGGAGAGGAAAATTTTGCGCCTTCATGGGCTCACGTTTTCCACTTGTGACGTTCCTAAACTTAGCCTTCGCTCGCTCCTCGCTGCTTCGTTTGAGTGTCGCCTGTTGCGTCAGTCGTGTTGTCCCGTCCTGTGACGACCAACTGGCTTGGTATCGGTCGCGGCACCCAAATGTGACGTTCTAACCTTTTGGTGATTCGGATGGGAATCTGGTTAGATCCGATATCAGCCTCGTCGTTCCCAACTCGCTTCCAACGTCTGGTTACCAAAGTAACTGCGTTGATCTCCAGTCTGCCTACCCACGTTGTGAATTGATCTTAGGCAGACGAAATCAATCAGTCGTTAGGGCCGTAATGCAAGCTGGGTTCAAGCGAGGGTGATATCGCACAAATATGCATAAAAGAAAATAAAATGATAACTCAAAAGTTCAAGTTATCAAAAAAAGGATAACAATACTTTATGTCTAGTTGCTGGATACATAGGAATGCGTCTATCTTCCGACCTGTTATATGGATTGTGACACGTTGTTTTTTGTTAGGCGAATTTTAACACTTTAAGTTGTCTGTTCTTTAAGAAATTGATTCTTGGTGTGTCTTCAGGCGAAAGTCGAAAAACTTATTTTGGTGGTATGGATCTAAGTCGCTCTTCAAAATAAATTGTTCTTGGATTGAAGACGAGTTCGGATGTTGCGCGAATCTTAGTCAGCTGCGAGGCGTGCTTCAACTGAACACTCTCCTCTGCTGAACTCTCTGGGAAACTCTGATTTTCGCTCGCTGCGACTTTGCTTATATGGTCGCCGACCAAAACCGGGTTGGGTTTGTCGGGGCCGGAGGTTCCTCGATAATTCTAAATACATACCCACTTCTTTTATTTTTTGGTTAGGAATTTTCCACTTCTTTCCATTTTTGGGAGTCTTCTCTTACTCCCACCTTCTCACCATACTTCAGAGGGGCGTCAACGGCTCTCCCCACTTCTTCGTAGCAACCTCTCATACCCATCCTCTAAGTGGGCGGCGGCGGCTTCCCTCCTTGCGTCACGTGATCACCACTCGGCCAATGATGTCCAGCCGGGCGTGTGCGATCCAGCTGGCTTTGTTTCAGGAAAAAAAAATATCTTGCTCAAAAAAAAATTATCTTTTTCTTTTTCTTTTCTTTCCTTAATCGCAGCTCTCATATTCTCTGGCCGCCAACAGAACAATGCGACCAGTAGTATCATAACCTCTATTCTCATCTGGACTTCGTCAGTCAGATTTTCGCTAATCATCAGAATGGGTGGTCGTCCAGCGAAATACAATCGACCGTCGTCTCGAAAAAACAGTTCCATTGTTCTAGTCATTCCTGGTGCCAATTTCTGATAACATAGTTTTGTTATCACAACCGAACTCTAACACCGATAGATGTCTTGTCAAAAAACGGTCAGCCGTTACTCAAGGTTGGCTTCGTGTGCGGCTTAGCAGACGACACAGTTAATTTTTCTTATCTATCCAAAGCCCTGTATTTCACCTGTTCTTTGTTAATTATCAAAATAACATTATCAATTGGAGTTTTCTTAGCTAGTCGGTCAGTGGTTTGCTAATTAGATGTTTGCCCGCATTAAGCGGCTGTTATCTATCCCCGATAACACAAGTTCGTCGCCACAACATAGTCGATTCCCTTATCCACTAAGAATTTTTCTGCAATGGTAATGACACCTTTTCGCCATTTGCTACTTATCAAAATAACAATGTCAAGGCCCCTTTTATCATCTACGCTTAAGTCTTGCCTCTCTTTTCCTTTCTTTCCTTTCTCTTTTTCCTTTCTTTTCTTTTTGCCCTGGTAAATGGTGCCACACACGCACATGAACTAAAGTGATTACATTGAATCAATTACTAGGAAGCCTACTGCTAGGAAAGTTAGTTCAGTGTCGAGACAGACGATTTTTCTCGTCAGAATACATCTTGCGCATTTGTAGACCTACCATTCGTCCGAGAATTTAAGACTGTTATCATATCTGGCTTCGTGCTCAGACTATCTATCTATCTATCTATCTATCTATCTATCTATCTATCTATCTATCTATCTCTACTCTCTGATTTGTGCAGTTAATGTAAGATAGTCTTTATTTTACATTGAGCACAGTTTTTTCTTATACTATAGAGTAATTATATGTATTTGTATATGATTGCTTGCTCGTATACCTACGCATATTTACCCATTCAGTTATATCTATCTATCTATCTATCTATCTATCTATCTATCTATCTATCTATCTATAGAGTCTGTAATGAAATCGATTCTGACCTGATATTTCAACTCTAGTCACTTCCCTCTTTATGGTAACTGTTCTGGTGAACCTTTTTTTCTTTGTGCCTCGACTGCAGGAATTTAAAAGTGCTACTCGGTTGCCAACTAGGTCTATCCATTTCGCTCTTAAACTAGCAAGACTCAACCGTCTGTTCTATTTTGTAATAGTTTATTTTCTCATACTTCTCGCCTGTGGAATTCCTTTCCGATTATCTCGCTTCCCTGTCACATATAATCTTCAAGAATTTAAATGCAACATCAATCGCCATCTTCCTGATTCCTGTCCGTTTATTATCACTATAGTCTTCTCATTCTCTTTCGCCCCCCCCCGTAACCCCTCCTACATCCTAGTGGCATTATAGCTTTGCTTAGAGGGAAATTATTAAAAAAAAAATGATCGTTTGAGACGTTTTTTTTCTAATTAATTTCACCGTTTTTTTTTACTCTTTCCTACACACCTGTTGTATGCTTTTGTTTCTTCTTAGAAATCACACAATCTTTTTTTTATGTAAATCATTTAATTTAACTGCATTCAATTTAAAAGTCATAATTTTATCTTCTGCTTGAAGTCGCATAAGCTTCATTTATCGATTATTCTAAATCAGTGACGTAACTCTTAGAAGTGCAGAGTGAAATCAGCGTGCCGGGATCAAACCCTACCAGATACAGGGGAAGGTATAAACCTGCTTTAAGTCTCACCCCCTCGGTAAACAGAAGGTGGTTCTTTTTAACGCTGTAAGAATGTTTTGGGTTTCCAGTTAGTACTCTGACTTTGTAAAATATTTCATAATTGCTACAAATAATTGAGACTCAATGGAACGAAAACTGTAGACATAAATTATTCTCTCGTGTGCCAAGGGATTTTTTTTTCGCAACAGTAGATTTCAAGAATAGTTTTTGTAGAAGAAATCAGTGATGTTCTTGGGATTTTAATGATAACCATTGAATATATCATATTTTAGCTTTCTTCTATAAGAGTAATACTTTTCTGAATTACTGTTAATTTGTTTTTTCTTTTATCTTTTGATGCAACATTTATCGTCATTTAACGGAAGTATTTTTTGTTTCACTAAAATACATTGCATATATTATTTCACATCAATGTTTTTTATATTTTGCCACATTGATTTTATGAAATAGTTGTATGTCTTGTCTAACATTGTATTTCTTCGTTGATTCTATTGTCGATTGATTTTACTGACTCCATCTTTTAATTTTTATATTTATAACCAAATTCTATTCTACTTTTTAAATATTTGATATCTATATATGATTTTAATTTATTATCTGATATTTCCGAAATGATTATTTGAATCTACAATTTCTACACTTTGACGCCGCGTGTTGGCATTTACGAAAATTGTTTTTATTGCACTCGACTTGTTTTCTTGTCTTTTCGATTTTTCTTATTCGATAAAAATATTTTATTATTTAACAAAAATATTTTCTTATTTGACACAGCTGAATTTCATTTGACTTCACGGTTTTTTATCATCTGACAGCTTTTTAAATTTTTTTTTTATATTTGACACCATTCTCTTAATATTTGAGTCCACAACTCAACATTTGGCTTCATTATTTTTATAATTTCATTCAGAGTCAAGTAGACTTGAGATGGATATTGCTGCATCAAAATGATCATTTCAGAGTCATTTTAGCAATTGTTTTCGCTTTTTTATCATTTGAGACCATACTTGAAGTATCAAGTATTTATTGGCAGACTTGAACTAAAATTAGGAAAACCGTTTATATATATATATATATATATATATATATATATATATATATATATATGGGGAGCGAATATCAGTGTATATTTGCTTTTGGGTCTTTTACTGATGCATTTGTTATTTAAGTCATGAATATTTGAATCTTTTTATTTGTGTCCGGTGTAACATCCTTTATAATTTATCAGTAAAATTCTAAAAAATTTCGGTTCCTTGGATTCCAGGAAAATATTAAATATTTATCGATCCACCGACGATAGGAAAATGAGCGTTTTCAATGCAAATCTCGCAATTTTGAGTTATTTCCATATTATTTTGTATCCGTCGGTATGTCAAAGAAATCCCACACACCTCAGAATGCAGGCCACAATCTTGATCCATAGAGCAGAGGTAAAAAAAAACACACACACAAAAAAAATAATGCATATTTGAGTGGAATTTATTTCTATAACATTCTCTTAAGACATTTTGTATATTTTCCACAGATGGGGCAGATTGTTTCGGGAACTAAAATAATGAACTGGGATTTTAACTGTAGGTTTTTAATACATATAGATAAAACCCTCGAGGCGATTGGCGTAACACAATCTTATTGCCATTTTCACCCTAATTTTTATATTTGAATTGATACCGTACTATATTAAGCCTGATAATTATTGACATTGTCTAAACAGATGTTTGTACCTTTTTCTTTCAGTATCAGTTAACTTTAAAAAGTACTTGATTTAAAAAAAATAATTAAAAACAAAACTTTCCTTCAAAACCTGAAATAAAACACATTGTACTGACGGCATTATTTTCTATATATAAAGTATGTACTGCGAGAAAGAAATGATTTTAAAATTGCCTTAAAACGATTGCAAATTCTTCTTATTTTAAGAAGCACCTCCATATAAAAAAATATAAGGGAAATAGCGAAAGTGGCTTTCTAGAAGCTAAACAAAGGTAAAAAGAAAACGGGAAATTTCCTTGAAAACAATGATTGCAGTGCTGAACTGCAATGTAATATAATGGAAATGAATGCTGGACGTTTTCCTCACAGATGATTAGGAGACATGCATGAATGGAGAAGTGGCTCTACAGGAGAATACTGAGAATACCATACACAGATCGTGTGAACAATATGGGTGGTTGTAAGGAACAAAAAGGAAACAAAAAATGACATTTATAGTTAGAATCATAAAGAGACAATTGAATATTTTCGGATAATTTGAGGCTTTGATAATTTGATATTCCCAAGACATATTGAAAGTAAGCTGTTCAAGGGAAACAACGTACAACTTATCTAATTGACTTGTGTAAAGACGTAACAGGGATTAGGAGAGATAGTAAAAAACATTGCTAAGATTCACAAAGGCTAGGAAGTTGTAGAGAGCCATGATTACTCATGTCTTGAAGAAGAAAATCATTTCTGGTTCATATGCAGAGAACGACGCCATTTGTTCTTCCAGAAATTGAAGCGTAAAATGAATCAACCAAACTATCATGAAACATTGTTCTGTTGAAGTGACAAGAAAGTGAAATGAATTCATGTTGACCAATTCTTTTGTATTTGCTGTCCTTATTAGAAATTTTCGTCTATTTTGTTATACAACACCTTTCAGTTTGAATTTGTTAATCTTCCGGGAAAATCTTTATTTGATCCGCAACAGTTTCCTCTTCTCATTCTTCAGTAAATCTCCTCCTGTTCCATGGATGGCATGAATTTCATTCCTGGGTTAGGAATTGCAGGAACAGAAACCGATTTAGAGAAGAGATATAAAATAACAGAACTGACTGATACGAGTTCTGAAATTCTCTTGAGAGAATACAAGTCACGATATATAAATGAATAAGAGCAATATAGCCTTGTATGTTAAATAATGATTTCCTCACCAAATCCATAGTAGGTCTACGAAAGGTAGTTTCGGATGTCCGGCGAATAGAGCGGTCAACTCTACTGATAAATAAGGTAATACAAGTATAATAATGGAGAAAAAATAATTGTCTTAGAAATTAGAAAAAAAAAGAAACAAAAAGAAACAAAAAGACGAAGAATAGACCGGCTGTGAAAAAAGCCAATAGTCGAAATGAATCAATCAATAATATAAACAATACTTCAGCCTGTAAAATCAAATACAAAAATGATTTCTAGTTTGACGTTGAATAAACAGTGTGAATCAATAAACATTTTTCTCCTGACAATCTATTGTGCTTGATCCCAGTTTTTATCTTCTCACAATGGCTGTTTCAAGGTAAAACCGACTGTCTATGTCCGCTTGAGGCATATAAGAGAATCATTGGAAGTTTCTTAGTGTCTTTGTAGCCCAGTTTTAAATTAACTACATGCCACCGCGACGATTTGAAAACTGATGACTTACCACATCGAAAAATGCCGACAGTTCAACAAATGAAATAAAATATAAAAATAAAATTAGAAGTCAATACATTCTATTTTCAATAGAATTTAATACCAAAATAGCGAAACATTCGCAACATTATGTCGGTGAAATAAGAGGGTGTGAGGCAAGTCGATTTATCTTAACGAAAGCACAATCAAAATTGTATGCGTTCTATTTACAATATGAGATGGAAACATAATTTTGTGATAGCGAGAACGATTCGTAATTATAACGCAGTACATTTGATTTCAAGCGAAAAATTCCTAAGTGAATCCACAGGGTTCTAATACTGTCGAGAGTGCAGAAGTAACAAAAAATTCAGCCTTTTTTTTACGGAAATGACGGAAACATATTGACAACTTTCTTGGTGGAAGATTCTATTCGCCAGCGTGAGAGCCAACAGCTGACTGACACGTATGTTAACTAGCATGCTAGCATGCAAAAAAAAAAAAAAAATAAATAAAATCGATAGCTGCATTCGTCACAAGTGGGAAAAATTTAAATCTGCATGGCACTTTACTCCAATTGGCTCATTCGCTTGCTTAAACTCAACGTTGATTCTGATTCCGCAGAACTGTGTTGGGTGATAAAAAGTATTTGTTGTTAACATTCTTTTTTCATTCGGTTTTTCCAGTTACGAATCCTTTTTTAAAGCTGATCGTTTTGTGTTCATTTTGTTTAGTTCTTTTTTTGTAACAGATTTAATGTTTAGTATAGAGCTTAGAAAAAATTCGCAGTGTGAGATAGGCAAGAAGTAAGGCATGTAGCAACATCAGCACGGCAAAGGGCACTCCTTTAAAGGCAAGGAAGGGCAAAAATATTTTAAGTCAAGTGATAGCGATTGCTGTATGAGTCGTACGATTTT